GAATCGATTGACATCGACAGCGTGTCAAAAGTAAGTTGTGTCCAATACTACGCAAGATTATGCCCATTCCTACAAACAAAGGATCTCCAAACTCTGACCTGATTAATGTATTACTGTAAGCTTAAAGAACACAAGACATCACCTTACGCTAGGTTATATTTTAGATGGTGATCCGGGGTTTTACTATATTCTGCTTATAGAAATCCCCTTACGCTAGGTTATATTCTAAGACTGGTATTCTAGATATAATAAATGGTCCAATGTTTTAATATGTCTGTTAAAGGAGACAACCACTGGATGCTCCTCTTTCATACTACTGATTCTTCTAAACATATTAATATGTAGACTATATAGATCTTATATCTTCCCTTACGATATATAGCCCTAAAATAACCTGAAAGTGCCTGTTTTACTTTAAACTACATGCTTCAAGCCGAATAACATATGATACATAAATGCTTCGAACACAAATGGATATTTTTTTAATTCAGTTGTGAATGCAACAGCGCATGAAATTTGAAATATAATTAATTTCAGTTTTTAAAAAAGTTGTTAATTAACTTAAATAATCATTAATGGTGTTTGCATCACTGATAATAATTGTACAACAATTGTTGATATAGTAATTTGATGTATTTTTCATGCTCTAGAAACTAGTAATATTATTATGTTATAACTTTTGTATAAAATAATTAGGTATACATCTTGTACGAAATGATGTGTGAATATTAAAAATATAATGATACATTTGTTTCAACTGGATTTTTTGCAACAATGTATGTGTTATATGTTTTATATATTATTCAGCTATCACCTGTTGTTAAAGTGGATTATTGTTGCATTTGCACTTAAAACCTCCATTTATTGTATAACTCATTGTCTTAAATTTGGCTAAATAACAATTTGCGTACATCTATATGGTAATTTTAAATTGCATTTTGAAAGGTCATTTTTTTTTGTTTATAAAATTTGTTTCAACGTTAACGGAGTCTGACATGTATCTATGTATGTTGGTCAAGTTCGTCTTTCACATTATTCATATTGTATTGTAAATTATACATTGTATCTACGCATGATTTTAGATAATATTTGTAAAACACTATGCTTTACTATTACATATGTTTAATTGTAATTCAATGTTATATTTGTATACTAGTTGTATATATATATATGATATACAAAATGTGTAGTACTAATATGCATATGTGTAACCGTTTGTACCTTATATCTTGGGTTTTATCGTGTCGTGCTATACGCTTGTACTAAAATATTTATAAGTCTATGGTATACAATGGAAATTGAATCATGTTGTTTCCAGAGTTCGATGTATTGAGCACTAGTTTAACAATTGAAATATTTTATTATCGTATGGTATACAATGTATGACTTTTGTATAAGGTATGTATATACTGTATATATCATTGTCCATTGCGTGTATAACGTACTGTACATATAATATTATGCATTAACTAATAATTATGTACATGTTTACAAGTATATATTAATTTTGAATATTACCAACGACTATACAAATTAATATTATTAAAAAATCCATGAACATTTATCATGAATTTAATAACATTTGTAATGCGTCATTTAGAAATTAATTATTTTGAATATTACATTAGTATAATATATATTTGTAATGGTGTGTACTTTTTATTTATAATTATAATGTATATTAAACACATTACATTTAATAATATGTTTGCGTTACAGTTATTTATTATTCAAGGTTGTTTTTCCTTTTGAAATGGCATTCTCTTTTGATAGCTGTTGCTTCTAAATTTAAAAAAAATTCAAATACCAACAGTGTCATTTGTTTAAACACGCTGGTATCATATTTTCAAAATCTTTTAATTAAAGTTATCTTCCTGAATTAAAATTCCATAATTATCTCTACTCATTTTGATACAAATATTACAATGTATAAAACAGGAATGTCTGCCTGTATATATTTGGCATATATATATTTGCTATATATGTATGTATATTTTATCCACGGAGGAACATTGTCTGATTCAATGATGGTATAAAAATGTGAGATTTAAGAGTTGAAATTATTTTGGCTGTAAAATAAAGTTTAAGTTTGTCAAATAGTAAAATGTTATCTTATCTGTACAAAGAAATACTGTAGATGATATCTTTGTTTTATCTCTTGTTGATAGATATTCAGCTAACAATGTAAATCCATTCTAAGGTTTCAGTCCCTTAGGATTTCCCAAGTTTTGGTTTGACGAAATACAATTATATTTGCGGTTGATGACATTTCAATTGAGTTGTCTTTGGTGCAGGACGGGAGTCCCCATTGCAAAATTGAAAATAAATATTTATAATATAGTAACTTTATAATTGTAAGTATCAATATGTAATCAAGAAAGGAAACAATTGCAAAGATCCCAAGAGGGATGAAAAACTTAGCATGTGAAACAATAGAAACGTCTTGTGGTGTATTAATACACAATATAATAATATGAGGTCTAATATCTGAATTTGAAATAATATTTCAGGAGTAAACTACGTCTTACATTCATATATACACAGGAATAACTTTAAACACTGTACGTAACAGAATATAACAGCATCTCACAGACCTTTATATCATTTCTTAAGACTTTTACATATCATATCAAGTTCAAAAATGGAATAAAAATCTCAGTTCACATTTCCCCTTTTCATAAACTTTCCCATAAATGTCATTGCTCTTACATTCAACACTTCAAGTTAAAATTTCACTGATATCTCTTTCGATTTTCAAATACTCCCCTTTAAGAAGACGAATTATTAAAAGGAAGGATATCGCGTGTATCTGACTAATTATGGAAACATATGAGTGTATTATGATAATCGCTCATATCTCATTGAACAATCGTCATAATCATTCCAATTATACAATTATTTATTTCTTTTCTAGTGCCTCGGGCTTCATAATTTTATACTCTTTAACTTCAATCATAGAAAATAAAATCACATTCAAACTATTTAACGGTGATTTGATATTAAATTAGTTTTATTACCTACTACGTTTCAACAATTTACATTGTCATCCTCAGGTGAAACAAATCTACGATTGCCAATTGTTGTGCTCTCATTCAATTCAATCTGATCAATATTGATAATGCAATATATCGATAAAGTTGAGAATTTATGCGCTGTGTTATGCATTTGAGAGTATTTAATAGTCTAACTGCATAGAACCCGATTCCAATCCGCATAAAGCTCTTGTCATTGAGGCTTCCAATGTGAAAAAATTATACTTCATAACAAATTTCGCAGTTTTTTGTGTTATGGATAGGAATAAACCCCATTTGCAAAATTCGCAATGTTAGTGATATAGAAATTCATTTCTTTTGCTAAACGCATATCGCATGTCTCGATGATAAATTCATTTGGTTTGCATATTGTAATTCAGAATCAATCCATTCTTTGTTAGGCCTACGTCTAAATAAATTTATTTGGTGTTTCAAAAGCATGGTATAGACAGCAACGTTTCGATAAGATGAATATTAACGCGAAAAAATATAGATGCGAAGTTACTTAATTGCATGTTTTAGATCGAAACGTTGCGATAAAAATACATTGTACTTCACAATAATATATCTATTTGATTCAATTGTTAACTGATATAATATATTATACCTCGGCTATTGTCATACATTGTACAACATTGTTACCAATCAATTACAAATATCATTTGTATTATCAATAATAAAATACATTTACAATACATTCAGTTGTATTTCAAATACAGATACAATTGTCAAACGAGATGAATATTATCATTTGATGTTTTCACACCGTACATTTTAAATTTCGTAATAAATCAATCTAATTCTTGCTCGTATTTATTTCTTTCTGGCTGTTTTTCGAAATCGGGAAATGGTTATTCTTTAGCGTTTCGTAATATATCATTGCAAATTTATACATAGTTATTGTTCACGTTTAGAATATTATCTTTGTGCTACATTTGCATAAAGCTTATACTCAAATTGGAAGATCTCGATGGTTTTTTTTGGGTACATAATTTGAAACTGTATAATCTAAATATTCCGTGCCTCACATGTAAAACGTACAATGTTTAAATAGTAATAGTTTCAAATTACAATTCTCATAAAATAGCTAGAAGAAAATCGAAATAGATCTTAAATCACACAAAAACTAGCTCAAACAACTACTACATAACCTGATAAACTAAACCGCACCTTAATGATAAAAATCTCAAAGCCATTGTCTTCGTTTAGTTTGTTTTGGACTGCAAATACATATATATATACTTATATCAATACACACCTTCTCTACCTATGTGTTATTTAATAATACATTTTTCAAAGTGTAAATTGATACATATTTAACACTTTTAAATCACCTTTGTTTAAACATATTCATTGTATATGTATATATGTATATTTGTTTACTTCTACGCTCAATTTATTATTACTTCATATATTTTTCAATTTCATAATTTCAATGATTTTTATATGAATTTGAAAGTCAATATATGAATGTGTACTTTTATATATTATAGCTATAATTGTTATAATGCCGTAATATCAAAAATCTAGTATTTTGAAATTTCCCGATAAGATAAAAACAGCAGTATCTATATGAGATAATTAGCCGACTGAAATTCTTGAAGATAACAAGGGGTTGCGTTGACTTCAAAATTGGCCGAATAATATTTCCTACTGATAAAAACTGACTTGGAGGATTTCGAAGTAAGAATTTGATACAAACAAGATTTCCAAGATAATGCATTGGTTCAGCCTTAAAACGTACACGGCAAAATAATCACAAAATAGCACACCTGTAAGTTACGAATGACGCTATAAGTATCACAATAAGATTTTGCAAATCGCTTTCTGAACAGCCTTAAAACACCTACGACGGTTCAATTATATCGTACTTGAAATATGAATTATGAATTTGGCGTTGTGTGTATTGCTTCTATAACAGTAGAAAAATTGTGGAAAAAAGTCTCAGGTGAAAATCAAAAAGGCCTACCTTGAATTTGTGCAATCCTCATACAGCAGATCGAATTCTTTACAAGAAATAAGTTTACATCTGTTGACGCCTGGTTGAATGGCTCCGAGTCCACGGAGAATTCGGACCTGCTCCACATTACAGACAGTTGGTGTCACATCCAATCTTTTTAGTTTTGTATAAACTGTATGTAGTCCTCCAACAAGATGTTTCAAAAACAATTCAAAAACTTGCGGTAAACATATCAATTCTCTCGAATCCACAACAAATGCAGCGATTTTGGCACCACGATATTCTATCAATTTACACACATTATTTTCAGGATTACATGGAACCGGTGGCGGCGACGAATAACTCATTGGTTTTTGAAGTTTGTTCATTAAATTTAACGGATGCGACACTGAAAGCCCGGGGGATGGGTTTGTATGCAGCATGTCCCTCATATGTTGTCCCGTGGGTGACTCCATGATTTCTGTATATAGAAATGTAGTGTAGAACTATAGAATGAGCAATACTTGTAACACACTAAAATAAATACACTCGTAGATATCCTAATGCCCGGGCCCTAGCTCGCGCCGTTCACGCGCTTATCCAATCCGTACAGGAAATAGAGTGTTAAGTTGGTCGTGTCAATAGAAGAAGTAAAATCTCCACCCTATTATTGTAATACCAGCCTTTATACGATAAACTACCAGCTTTATACATTACTAGCTAGATAACAAATAACACTACTAGTCCATAGCATTTTTAGTGAGGTTTTTCTCACCAGTTACCATTTAGATGTAACTTGTACGTATATTCTTACTCACTAGCATTTAGAAGCTTGAAGGCGACAGTTTCTATACTGAGCATTGTATAATTTCAGTCTTTTCAGAATTTACACGGTTCTTATTTATCTTTGCACGCAGCGAAGTACATTTATAGTTGCATTTTAATTTAATCTTATTACTCAAATTGATAATTGATGTAAAAGAAATATGTGCTCTTCTTGTGACTTTGCCCAGTGCTTCTTTAGGAGAGTATCTTCTATAACGCCAAACTCTATAAGCGTTAAGCATTGTTTAATTTCATATTTCTAAAACCATTATATTTTTGTAGACCTAAAGTTTAAGCATTTTCATTTGAGCAATTTTATGATACACGTACATTATCTAAACAGAAACTAAATGTATAGACAGACACCCACCAATAATAAAGTGATCGATAGCCTCTGATTGGAAATATTAAAATCGTAGGAGTTCGATCTCTTCTCATTAGATCATAAAATCAATATTTTATTTTTTTTTAAACAATCTGTGATTTTTATCAACGATCGATAATAATATAGTGAATCACAATTCATCAAGAAAATTTAGATTCGTTTTGTTACTGATGGTCTATATTTACAGTTCATGCACGGTATGCTCACTCTTCTTGATTCTTAAAACTCATCAGTTGCCGTAAATTTGAAACCATGAATATATTTCAGAATGTAAACGTTTAGATGCATTTTTATATTGTCAATATTATCATTAATGTACTGTTTAATATTGTATGCTGTCCGCAATGGGCGTTTATGCAATAAATAATTTTTTATCTTATCTACTCATCGACAGACACCCCCCCCCCCCCCTCCCCTTTCTTTACTTCGGGATATAGTCTTCCCCTGTATTATCCCATCTTGGTTAATTCAAAACCCATTTAACATCAGATTTGTTACATTTGATTCACAAGCAATTACTACAGAATGATTTTTATGGATATTGGGATAGACTTCTTAGGTTGGTAGATGACAAGTTTACGGTCGCTTCGCAAACTAGGTAGTTGGTAAATGAAATGAAAATGAAATGAATGGAGTTTTACGTCTTACTCTTCTGCACCTTGTGGGCTAATGAAGACGGGCAACGCCATGCAGGGTGCCATGAGAGAAATTTTGCCAGGACAGCGGCATTAGCCTGCTCTTTTTCGATTTCCAACTGTCGAGGGATCTTTAGCACTATAGCACACGGGGCCTCGGTTTATTGTCCCATCCGAACGACTAGACGCTTTTTCCATGTCAGCCCCTCTTACCTGCATCACTGACAGGGGGGAAACCGGGTTAAAAAATCCGACTAGGTAGTTGGTAGTCGTAGTAGTTGGTAGTTAGACTCCTTATTACCCCCCTTGGTTTATATAGCCCCTACACTCGTACCGTCTCACCCCTGTTGAATCAAACACATTTAACATCATATTTGTCACATCTGATTTAAAATCAATTAGAGCAATCAAAGAATCAATGAATGATCAGGATGTTATCTCCCTTGTCCATCTCGTGACAATAATAACCTGCACGATTGATTGGATACCTGTCAATCATCGAACGTCACGTGATACATTACTTGCCAAACAATTTAAATAAAAACACGAAAAATTGTTTCAATTTATCTGAAAAACAATTAATTGCGTTTTTCATTTATAATAAATGGGGTTTATTTCCGATTGCCAGATCGATCAAATAACTTCGATCTTTTTCAAATTAATTAAGTATTTGCTGATTGAGTAAACAGTTTATACACGTAAAATTATTAGCTAAGTCTTATTTCTAAAATTTTAAATGAGTCGTCAAAGTCAATCTGAAGTGGAATGCGACCCAGATTTTTGTATTAGGTGTTATAGGAGGCAATCATCTATAGAATTACTGGCCTAGGTCACAATTTAAGGTACTGGCCCAGGTGACACGTATTGGAAGTTACCTTCCTATAGAAGCACCGGTCTGGGTCACAAGTAGAGTCACTGGCCTAGGTCACAAGTGGTGGCACCGGCCTATGTCACAAGTAGAGGCACTGATCTACGTTACAAGTAGAGGCACTGGCCAAAATCACAAGTATTAGGTGTAATAGAAGATACCTTCCTATAGAAGCACTGGCCTAGGTTTCAAGTAGAGGCACTGGTCTAGGTCACAAGTAGAGGCAATGTCCTAGGTTACAAGTAGAGGCACTGGCCTAGGTCACAATTAGAGGCACTGGCCTAGTTCACAATTAGAGGCACTGGCCTAGGTCACAAGTAGAGGCACCCGCCTAGGTCACAAGTAGAGGCACCCGCCTAGGTCACAAGTAGAGGCATTAGTTTATATCACAAGTAGAGGCACTGGCCTAGGTCACAAGTATTTGGTTTTATAGAAAATACTTTCCTATAGAAACACTGGCTTAGGTCACAAGTATTGGCAATGGGCTAAGTCCCATGTACAGGCACTGCTGTGGGTGACATTAAAGACACTGGTTTTGTTCACAAGTATATGTATTGAAGTTTCTTGTATGAATAAGATACTCTCCAAAGTAAGCAATGATCAAGCTAACAATAATTAGTATTATATTTTACTCAGATTACAAGTCGTATGCTTTACTCAGCGAAATTTTCACATTATTGATTCTGTAGTGACTGAAATCAAACAATGTTTACAAATAGTAAGGAAAGATAAGACATATAATGTATTTGTTTTGGTGCCATAAGAATGGCGTTTCTAAAGAGATAAGTTTAAACCAGTTGTTAGTGTCCTGTATGTCATAATGTTATATCCAGCTAGGTTGATCATGAACAAATATAGAAGATTAACGTCTTGGCATCTCTAATGGTTTTAATCTGTAGCTGATACTTGGTATGATATTCCGTTCAGTGACAGAAATATACCAAGTTGAGCCAAATTAGTTATGTGGACACCCTGAAATGGGTGCCGTGTGAACAAACTCAGTCAAAAAGTAGTATGAGGTGTTCCGGAGGAGTTAGTGAACTCTGCCTCAGTAACGACATACACCACTATAAGTGGACCTTAGATGTGCACTTAATAATATCATATTAATATGAATTTATAATCAAGAGATATTTGTGATATATTATATAAATAAGAACAATATACAGACAGTTGCGCCATTTTGGGGGATTTATTTGACTCCTGAACACATGTATATGTAAATAGTCTTTCAGAAGTACTAAAAAAAATATCTCAAACTTGGAATTTCTTCTCCTATTTCTAAAGATGTATTTTCTATATATGGCAGTGTCTCAAGACATTACAACTCGTATTCAATATAGATCTGACTTTTATAGTTCAATTACTATGTAACCTATTCTACCATCCTTATAAGCACA